CCCGTCATCGCTGTCAGCATCGTCGCTAACGTCGCTACTATCGTCATTGTGTCTACCGTTGTCGACGTTGCCATGATACCGCGCCCGCCCAAATCGCCGAGTCGCAATGAAGTGTCCGTTGGGACGTTCCTGGCGGTCAGCGCCGCCGCGGCCGCGTCGGTCGCGCCAAACTAGCTGGCCGTTGCGCGCGCGTGCTTGGGTCGGCGCGGCCGCAGAGATGCACCAGCCAACGCCGAGCACCCATCGCAATCGCTTCCGCATGGGTTTTGCAGTCCGAGCCACCGGCGGGTGGGTGGGAGGAGGAACGCGCGAGCAGTAGAGTCGACAGCTTCAGGTTCGGCAAGGTGAATTAATTCTCCTCTTTAGAAAGAGAATCGACTCTACCCCCCCTGGATTATGGCCCCCCCTGCTCGTATCGCAATTTACATGTAATCCTGCCCCGTCGTCCATCCAAAGTATTCAGTACTACCATCCCAGCCCAGCAGGTATCGCCCCCCCCCGCCATCTTCAGCAACGAACGCTATGCGCGCGCGTTCGTTTATCACAAATCACCACTTTTCAAAAATCTCTTGCAACAGACGGGACGATGCGCACGCGCGCGCGTCGTCGCGCGCGCATTCCGACGTCCTTCGAAAACCTTGAGTTGCGCACGGATTTCAACATCGAATGCCAGAAACACAAATGCAAACAAAACGTTCCGCAACGCGGATATTCAAAAACAACTTTCGCACGCTCTTGCGAATTCTTAAGAAAACAATAGGTTTATTAACATTTTCAGAACATGCTACCAAACGGGCTTCGCGCGCGCATGTCGAAATCGTTGGAGCGCCCTTGCGCGCGTGCCGTCGCGATAACACTTTGCAGAGAACGGAGCGAAGTGCGCGCGGGTGCGTCGTCGTGCGCGCATGCCAGAATCCGTTCAAATCATCGTGTTCGTAACAAGTTGAAAACGTGATGGCAAACAAGCATATAACATACATGTCTTCGCAAAACGTGTATTCAAAACAGCGTGCGCTCGCGCCTTTGCGAGCCGTTCAGAAAACCGACGTTTTCCCAACATGTTCATGGACTTTGCCATTCGGGCCTCTGGTACCGCATGCCGACATCATTCGCACGCCCTCGCGCGCGTGCTGGGGGGCACGGTCCGTGTCAAGACATGCCGTGCCGGCCACTTTCGCGCGTCTGCCGCGAGCGCATGTCGAATTCTTTCTGAAACATCCATCACCGACGCGAGGACGCTGTCATCGTCGTCGGCGTGATGGGAATCGGCGCCCGCACTGGCCGCGCCGCCGTCGTTGTCAACATCGTCATCAGCATCGCTACTATTATCATCGTGTCTACCGTTGTCGACGTTGCCATGATACCGCGCCCGCCCACATCGCCGACTCGCATTGAAGTGTCCGCTGGGATGTGCCCAGCGGTCAGCGCCGCCGCGGCCGCGTTGGTCGCGCCAAAGTAGCTGGCCGCTATGCGCGCGTGCTTGGGTCGGCGCGGCCGCAGAGATGCATCAGCCAACGCCGAGCACCCATCGCAATCGCTTCCGCATGGGTTTTGCAAACCAAGTTGCGGGTGGGTGGGTGGGATGATTGCGCGAGCAGTGGATGTGGTCAAACGTGGTGGAGTGTAGTCAATTCTTGACGCTTCGCGTATCCCCACCAGCCCATCCTACACCAGGCACTCGAACGAAGATCGCCGATGATCGGCAGCTGTTCTCCTCCCCCTCTTCCTCCTTCTCCTCCGCCTCCTCCTCCTCCTCCCTTCCTCCTCCTCCTCCTCCTCCTCTTCCGCCTCTTCCTCTTCCCTGGTGGCGTCTTGGAGGTATCTTCGAACGTTTTGGTGGGCTCTTGGGCCTCGCGGGCGGGCGGGCGGCGCTCCGCCCGCCCGCGCGCAGGGCGCAAGTGGAGAGTCCGAGACGTCTCTTGAGGCCCTCTTGGACGACATCGATCGCAGAAGGGGGAAGCATTTTTTAGCGTCGCCCCCCTGGGGGGCACGATCCTCGTGAGGGGTGTCGAATTTTAGCCCTCCCAGGGGTCGTTTTTGGACGCTCTAACTACCCGCGGCCCCCCGTGTCCAGGTCAATGGGGAGGGGGTTAGGGGGAGGGGTAAACCCCTCCCCGAAGGGGAAGAAGGAGGGGTGGAAGAGGAAACGCTCTAAACCACCGACGCCCAGAGGGCTGTTGGGATTCTCCTTGCTACAAAGAGAACAAATAGACTCTACCCCCCCCCGGCGTTATCCTCCCCCCTTTTCGGGTTTGTAAATCATGTGCGATTCTGACCACATGTCCATCCTAAATATGAATTTACACTATCCCAGGGGGGCCGGGATCGGTTCCCCTGAGGTTCCCTTGTGAAAAGCAATACGCGGGGACATCTTTTGTTCTAGCACAGGCCTTTCTTTTCACGAATCCCTTGCAAAACATGGGACGAAGTGCGCACGCGCGCGTCGTCGCGCGCGCATGCGGGAATCCTTCAAAAACCTTCGGTGTCGGAAGGAATTCGCAATCGAGTTTCCCAAACAAAACATAGAACAACATAGGGTTTCGCAACAGTGATTTGCTAAACATGCTTATGCGCGAGCTTTTGCGAAATCTTAAGAAAACCATAGGTTTTTCAAGATGCTTCAACAAATGCTACCAAACGGGCTTCGCGCGCGCATGTCGAAATCTGTCGAACGCCCTTGCGCGTGTGCCGTCGCGAGAATCTTCTACAAAAAACGGGACGAAGTGCAGACGCGCGCGTCGTCGCGCGCGTATGCCGAAATCCTTCAAAACCCATCGGTTTCGGAAGGATTTCAACATCGTGTGTCCAAACAACCTACACAAACACAAGGTTTCGCACCACGGATTTTCAACAAAAGCGTGCGCGCGCGCTCTTGCGTCGTCGTCGTCGTCGTCGTCGCCGTCCTCCCTTCTCCCGCGTCGTCGTCGTCGTCGCCTACGTCGTCCTCTGTCTTTCCTCGTGTTCGTCGTCGTCGTCCTCTTGGGCGTCGTGGTCGTTGCCGTCGTCGTTGGCGCCGTGGTCGTCCTTCCTCCTCCTCCCTCGTCGTCGTCGTCGTCGTCGTCCGTCGTCAGCGTCTCGTCGTCGTCCCTCCTATTTCGTCGCCGTCGTCGTCGTCGTCGTTGTCGTCGTCGTTGTTGTCGTCGTCTTCCCTCCTCCCTCGTCGTTGTCGTCGTCGGCGTCGCCGTCCTTCCTCCTTCTTCGTCGTTCGCGTCGTCGCCGTCCTCCCTCCTCCCTCGTCGTTGTCGTCGTTGTCGTCGTTGTCGTCGTTGTCGCCGTCGTCGTCCTCCCTCCTCCCTCGTCGTCGTCGTCGGCGTCGTCGTCGGTGTCGTTGTCGTCGTCGTCGTCGTCGTCGTCGTCATCGTCGTCGAAGTCGTTGGAGACGTCGTCGGTGTCGTCGTAGTCGGTATCTCGGCGGCACCGTTATCGTCGTTGTCGCTGTCGTCGTTGGCGTCGGTGTCGTTGGCAAGTGCCAATTGGTACCCACCGTCACGGTCTTAAGAGATTTTGCGAACCAAGTTGCGGGTGGGTGGGTGGGATGTTTGCGCGAGCAGTGGAGTGGTCAAGCGCGGTGCAGGGTAGTCAATTGCACCACATCGACTGCACCGCGTAGTTTGCAAACCGTGTGCTAACACTAAAGGGTACTACAGGGTTTTCCCACTCTGCAGTTCAATCTAAGTGACTGGTTCTCCGACTGGGCCTGCCAGTGTCTCGCCTTGTGCCCACTCGTCGCTGCCCCGCCGCCGCCTCCTTCGCTGGCTGGGCTTGCCGGGGGCTCGGCAGCTGGGCGCCCTCGCCGCCTTGGTCGCCGCCTCGCGCGCCGGCCGGGCCTGCCGGTGCCCGCCCGTCGCCGCACCGTCGCCGCCCGGTGCGCCAGCTAGGTTTGCCGTGGTCTTCGCCCGATGTCCGCGCGCGGCGCCTCCGTCGCCGCCTCGCGCGCTGGCAAAGGGGCCTGCCGCGGGTTTTGGGCCCGTGAGCGCCTGGTCGCGCCCTGCGGCGCCGCGCTCCGTGCGTTTTCTGGCGGGGCTTCCTGGGTTTTTCCGCCCGGCGGGTGCCCGCGGCCGCCTCGTTGCGGCCCGGAGATTGCACCCACTGGCCCGCATTGAGTCGGGCGTGTCCCTCTACAGGAGGAATGTTCAGAAGTAAGGCACACTGATCTGGGGACCATTTTTCGACAATCTTTGACAGTCTTTGGGTATTTGTGACTATTTTTGATTTCTTCTTCGGAAGCCCGCCTGTAGGGGGACATGCTCGACCTGCAGCTTGCACCACGGAACTTGCACCACATAGATTCGCTAATCAGGCTTGCCGACGAGTGTCCTGCTACTCGTTGTTGAAGGGCCAGTGGGTACGAGGCCTGGTTCGGCCGGCGTGCCTCGGGGTGCTTGTGGTCTTGTTGCGTCTTGTTGCCTGACTCGGGCGTTCCTCGGGTTTCCTCGGTCTCGGCTGCTTACTGTCGTTCCCTCGGGTTGCCTGGTCTTGTTTCCTGACTGTCTTCCTCGGGTTGCATCGCCGAGCAAAGCCAAGCGGCGTCAAGCAGTGCTCAGCAAAGCGCCCATGCAATAGGAGCTTTTCCCTAATAGGGGTCGCGCCTGGTCTGTTTTTCTCAAAGGTTTTGGACTGTATCCCCATGCTCGTGGGCGGGCACCAGGCGAAACCTCGTCATACCCATCCAACACGAGGCACCCACGAGGCGCCCTCGGGTGCCTACCAGACGGGCACCAGCCGAAAAACCGGCACACCCAACCACCCATCCGAAAATTCAGCAGCACGAGTGAGAACCCCTAAGTACGCGCGTTGTTTGGCGAAAAGGAATGCAGAGGTGCTCTGCAACCTCCCACCTTCGTCCATCCTTCTGTCCTTCTCCATTCTCCTCTGTGCTCACGTCTCCGTTCTACTCCCGACGCCGCACACTGTTCCCTCCATTCTCCTCCTTCTGCCCATCGCCTCACTCCTGGCCCCTTCCCGGTCGCCGCCGCTGCCTCCTGGGCGGGCGCGAGCAGGTCAACATTACCACCCCAATGTGTGCGCGTACGGACGTGGCCGCCTGTTGGACCTCGGTGGAAGAGGTGGACTGGTACCGCCGCCTTGTCAGCTGGAGGAGGACGAGGCGGACGAAGAGGACGCGCGTTACTTGGGAGGAACTTGTCGGTGTAGAGGGCGATCGCCCAAGGGTCGCCCAAGGCCCGAAGGTCAGCAAGCGTCTGCGGGCCGCGCGCGACCTGCTGCTGGCTGCCAAGGTATGACAGCACAGTCCGTGGCGTTTGCACCCCAAGGTCAGCCTCTGTCGCTGGTGGGCGCGTGGGCTGGTCGTCTTGGATGTCCCCGCAGTGTCCGCTCTTTCGGAGGCCGCGCCGCCCGTAGCTCTTCGAGCTCGGTTGACGCTGGCAGTCGGGGGATACAGGCACGACGCTGAAACGAGGAT